CAACAAGTTGTTTGCCACTGATTAGCCAGACAAGGAGCAGTGCAACAAGTGCTAGTGAAGAAAGGGATTTGTTAAACTCCCGTTAATACAAAACCGATATCGCTTTTGGCTTCCTTTTTATTGCATCACCCGAATGAAGGAATTACCCGCAAGTTTGGTTCTTTTGACTGCTCCATAACTATTGCATCATCAAGAGTTTCGTGGGAAACATCGATATATTTGCAAAAAAAAAATAAAACATAAAACTCGATTTTCATGACCAATTTAACCATGGGAATAGATTGTTAGGGTGCTTTAATCGATTATTTCCAATTTTCGAAAACTCACTTTATTTCATAATAATCAATCATAACCCGTTTTAGTTTCAATATAACCGTTTCTTTTAGCTCATAAAATCCTTGAAATTCGATTAATTTTTGCAAATATGTAACGCTTATTGGAAGTTTTGCAGCGTTCTGCAAAACTAGATCCCGAATGACCATGTTCACCCCCAGTGTAGAAGCCATCCGCCCAACTTTCCACACGCCGCCTTCTACTCGTCCCCGTCCCCCACCTTACTCCCTTCAACAACCCTTGCGAACAAAGGAGGCAAGGAAACAGTCGCAAGCCTTTTCTGAAATCGAGATGCGGTTTCTTTAAAGTTCTTTTTACTCCTGGTCGACAGAGTTTTTGTGATCAAGGATATGCAAAAGTTCAATCACAGAAAAAGTTCAGTGAAAAACAATTGTTTTTTTTTAATGCGAAAACAGCTTCTTATTAAAGAAGGTTTTTTGGATTGTCAAGATAGTTCTCGTTTAATTGTTTTTTTTTTAATTTGAATGATTTATTTACAATTCAAATTGAAAAAACATCTCAGGATTGTCATAACCCGGGTTGACCAAAAATACTAGTCAAACGTCCCAAAATCAGTAGTTTTGGGTTAACCAAAAATGCACAAAACGGTCCAAAATCAATACTCATGCATCTTGAGCTAAAAGTTATGCAGTCGAATCCGATTGGCTAATATTAGCCAATCACATTCAACCAACATGGTCAGGCAATTCAATCAAAACTTCCAGAAGATTAAAACAATTAGCCGAAAATTACAAAATTATTAGTCTAAATACCAAAATGTTAAACTTTGCTAGTAATAAAAATGTTTTTAAGTCACATGGCAAGTTTTTTCAGACAAGAAAAAATCAAAAAATGGCTTCAGCAAATTAAAAATTTGATAGTTTTGATCATGTCGGCCAACAATTTTATCTGCTTGAAATTTCAATTGAAATGCAGGACCATGTTATTTGAACTTGGGTGTATAAATTGCCAATCAGTTCAAGAAAGATGACAAAAAACTGATTTCGGGCCTCTTAGTATTCTAGCATTTTTCCACAAACCAAAAACATTGATTTGTTACATTTTAATTTCTCAAAATGTTTTGGTTGGGTTCGTCACCGAACACAAATGACATAAGCCTTGTTTACTCAAACGCACTGACCAAAGTTTTGGCCGTCTCGCATTAAAAATTTATTGAAAACAGCCTGAAATGTTTTAAATCTGCCTCATACAAATAATATAACGAAAGTAACGATTTTTTAATTTTTGGCAAAAAATTTCAAAGTTTATTATTTCTAAAATTTGAATTTTTAAATTACCAGACATTGATCAAGGCATACAAAAACATGCCATACAAAAGAAACAAGAGTTTTAAGCGTTTTTGAAAAAAGTTATGAAGAGAAAAGGGAAAAAAGTCCATTATTAGTATATCCAGGACTACTTTATACACACAAAAATGTAAGTTTTGCCTGCAATTTTTCTTGAGTACGAAAATCAATTTGCGGTTCAAACAAAACCAAAAAAAAATTTTAAGGGCAATTTTAAAATTATTTTGAAAATATTTTGTCGTCGCCATCAAAAAAATGCTAGTCATGCATTTTTTATATATGGAAATTGTATGATTAGCATCTTTCTTGACAAAAAGTTTTTCTTTTTTATTTAGTATGATACACCGAATTTTATGCCAAAACAAGAGAAAAAATTTTCGAAAATTCGAAGACACCATAAAATGTATGAAATTTGTATGACAAGTAATTTTTCATAGACTTAGTTTATTGAATTGTATGATTAGCATTTTTTGTCTATGGAGGTCAGATCGGGAAGTGTTTTTCAGTGAAAGTTTCTATGATTTCGTTGCAATTCAAATTAGAAAACATCATGATTGATCTTGTTTGTTTTTCAGAGAAAATTTTATGATTTGTTTGCAATTTAAAATGAAAATATCTGTCGGCTCTGTCAGACCGGGCCAATTATTTTTGCACAAAAAGATGCAAATTGGAATGACTTAGAAAACTAGTTATTTTTAAACTTCCAATAGATATAAAATTAAACTTTTATAGCTGTCTCCAGCCTTCTGATAAATACAATTATCAGTAAGTTGAAGCCCTGATTTTCTTTAATTTATCATTATAACTCTTAATTGTATTTGTTTAGTTAGAACTACCAAAAAATTTTTGTGGCTGAAGAAAGAAGCTCTTATCAAACAAAATTCATAGAGGAAAAATTTATGATTAAGTTTGAATGATTATTCTAACCAGGGGCACAAAAGTGGTTCCTAGTGAAGAGCGGAACGGCTCGGTTGATTATATGTACCTTCGTGGATAAATCTTTTTGATTGATAGTTGAAAAATTGGGTCAAAACATGTCAAATTTGCTAAGTGATGAAAAACTCTGCTCATTTTAGATGCCTAAACATGTAAATTTCCGTAGGAGTCAACAGATATCAGAAAGTTTTACATATAAATTAGATCCATATGTGTTTCTTTTTGCATTCTTACTTGTGCTGAAGCAGCGGAACAGAGACTGGAAACTAACTATGGCGTAGAGTGTTTTTTTTTGAGAATGAGAAACCATGAAAACTATTGTAAACTATCACCAATGGTGTGTTTTTTTGCCGTGTTACTCGTATAAGCAATACAAAAAAAAGCAATTGAATACAATGGACAGAAGTTCCCAGACCAGACACAAATACAGCATAAGAAAGATGAATGTGGATTTCAAAATCTGTATCATTTACAATTACAAAATCTGTCACAAAATCTGTACCGCTTATTTTTTTGCAAAATTTAGCAAAAAAAAATAATTTTTTTCTGTAAGGTCAGGGACACTTCTTTTTTTTTCAACTTCTCAAATTGTTATTTTTTCTTAGGCTATTTTGGTAGCATAACGAGGGCGAAATGTGTTTTTTGTGTTTTGTAAACTGATTCAGCAACAGGCCCAAATAAAATTTGTTGCTAAAATGGCAAAAGTGCTTTATTAAATATCCTTCGCTGTTTTGGATTCCACAAATAAATAGCTAAAACACTGAATTGCTCCTACTCGCTCTGAAAACTGCCGGAGTTGTGGAATCGGCATTTTTTTTTGAGGAATCTGGAACAGGTTTTGAAAACCACCAACAAATTTTAAATATGTGCACAGTAAAATTGAGCTGTTGCGGAATCCTATCGTAAGCGGAATCCGCAGACTGTTTTGCTTGCAGCTTCCAGAAACATTTACAGAAGCAATTTTGTTTAAACATTTTTTTACCCGATTGTCACCAGCGAATCAAATCTCAAATACTGCTTCAGTTTCGTCCCCAGCCGTTCAATCTCAATTCCTGCCTAATTAAACTCTCTCAAATCAATTCCTGCCAACACTCAATTTCTGCCAACTACAACGTTCGATCTCAATTCTGACGAATTCAAACATTCGAATCGATATCCAATCCTGCCAATCAACCTAAAAAATTCGATCTCAGTTTGTGCCAAGCGAACAAACTGAGGCAAACTATTCCATCAATTCTATTCAGTTTCAGTTCAAGTTAATTACGAGAATATCGTTAAAAACTAGCAATCATCGCAATAACTTCAATTAGAAGAGATAATAGATAAGAACAATTCAGAACACTTTGAATCATTCTGATGATCTTAATAAAGCTACATAATCCAAATTTTCCTCAAAAACATCTCTAACGAAGGGATGGAATTCATCAATGCTAACTGGGGGTTAAATTTGAACCTCTCAACAAAATAATTATCTCACTAAGGACATACTTATCTAAAGCATTTATCATGGTCAATTTGTTCCAAAATGCTTGTTGAGAAACTTTCGGCTGACAATGTTAAGTCGTTGCTAGTAAATTCCATTAGCACCAGATGATAATTGCAGCTTCAGCTTTTTTTTAGTCATACTCCAGAGCTGATTTGAAGCAGTAAAAAAAAAATCGCGTAATCCGTTTATTTTTTATAATTCTACTCTAATTGCGGAATCCGCATCCTTTAATGGAGTATTTTTTCACAAACATTCGCTTATAATGGCAAAATAATCTACTTCGTTGCCTGAATTTTAAATCTGTTATAGTATATAATGGATTATTTTTGTCTCTGGAATCCATTATAAACAATTTGAATCCATGGGCGCTCGGTGAGGGAATTAACGCGCGATATATTTAGCGCTAATAACGCGTAAGCGAAGATTTAATCCGTCATAGAAGTCGTTCCAAATTGGTTGAAGTAAGCTTATTTGCCAAAATTGATTTGATACTAGGAGTGAATTGAGTCACTTGTATTTTATATGGTGTGTGGAAGGATAATTCTCACAAAAAGATTCTCAAACTAAAAAAACTAAATTGTTCTTATTACATTCAATTTTTTCGAATTAAACTGCTTCATAGACCTAAAAAGGCAGTCGGAACATTCAGGGCTTCGCCATGATACGAGTAGTCTTGTTGTTCCGACTTTTTTAAATTTTATTTACAACACTTGACAGAACACAAGTGAGAAAGAGACGGTGCGGTTTAGTGTAAGTAACAACTTCGTCGTTCCGTTCATACCTTCAGCACAGCGAATTGTTCTCAATTAATCAAAGATACATTTATTTTTTGCGACTTTGTTCTCCCAGAACACATTTAGTAATAAGATTTGAATTTAAATCTCTACAAAAATATCAATAATTTCTTCGTGAATAGTTTTTGTAAAATGACCATAAATTTTAAACTAAATATGCGCAACAATTTCTTGGAAAGAAAAGCAATAACAGAAAATTTGAAGTTCGCAATTGGTGAAAGAAGGGTTTTGTCGAATGAAGTTTTGTCTGTTACGTTACTGATAAACCAGATTTTTTGCCCAACCCCCGTCAATATCTCTCTTAACTAGTTGCATTAGAACTATTTCTTCTTCAGTGTTATAATACCGCTCAACGTTGTCCTTTTCGATCTTAAACACTTCGATTAGAATATCTTGACAATCAAAATTGTAGGGATCCATAAACCTACCGTTGCTTGCAAAATTTGCCGCTTCAAAATGAAAGAACTTGGATCGAATTGCAGCTGACTGTTCTATACAATAACGCGCCGCTTCAGCACATTTGTGGGCTATCTCTGTTCGCTTGGATATCAAATCAGATATTGACTCGATATGAATCTTGTTGCTGTAATCCTCCAGAAGATTAACTATTTCAGCTTTTAATCGGCCGATTGTTGCAACCCCGTTGGACATTTCAGTTGTCACTTCTATATTTGCTACTCCAGGGCAGTTAGTTTGGTAAAACTAAAAAAAGAAGTTAATCAGTCCGACACATAATTGTATTAACTATCAAAGAGTTTTCATTTGCAGTTTATTATTCCAAAAATTCGAAAAAAAAATGATCGATTATTTGTAGGTGTTCGTGTTTTCTTTTCTGCAGATGAAATTTCAACTAGCCGTTTTTGTTGAAATTACTTTAACATCTAAGAGATATTCAAGTTCAAGCTCAAAAAAGTTATACTTAAGACCATTCTTCTGTAGTTATGATGTCTTGTTTTTGGGACTTTTACCAATAGAATTTTAATGAAGTAGTTAAAACCCAAATTTTTTTGAAGCTCAAACTGTAAAAAATTATTCAATTAAAATTGAATTGATGATTGTCGAATATTGTGTCAAAAAATCAAAAAAGTGAAACTCAAAATATGTTTTAACTAATTAGGTACAGAAACCTTGATCAATCACACCGAACTTATTGCTCCATCTAACTTTGTCGTCCCATTTCCCAAATTTTTTATACAAATCGAAGTCTGATTTTTCTGTAAATATTTTCTGTCTAAACTCAATTTTTGGCTCTGACACAAACAATTTGATCTCAATGATAGGTTGAAAGGCTCAAAAAATTTTCACCTTAGTATGTAGCCATAAAAATTATGAACTTGAACTAAAGTTTCATATTTTTGTCATTTTTTGCACATTTTTAAAGTTTTTTTTCGAGCAAAATCAATTTCATTGACAATAAAAGCCATTCAGAACAATTGCGAGCAGTCTTTAACAGGAGCAGTTTTTTTGATATCAGACAAGGTGACTAAAAACTCATTTCAAATTCAAATAATTCCCATTAATTGCCAAATGGCCAATACATTTGATACCTTGAAAACACTGCTTGGAAAATGTTAAAAAATTAGGATACCACTCGTAGTTGTATAGGAGTGTACTTAAGCTAAGAATAGATTAAGAATACGGTTGATTATGATTCCTACTAAAACAGTAGGCTTTTATTTAATACTAAATAAAAGACGGTGATGCTAACTAAAGTAAGAGAGGTTTAAAAGATTGAATTGGTTTCGGTTTTGTTTGTTACGTATCATAAAAGATAGTGGCCAATTATGAGTCTACCAAAAGCCGTTGCGCTTTTGGCAGGTGTATAAATTAACAACTTAAAGGTCAACGATCAGTAAAGATCAGAGGTTAAATGAACAAACAATAATACTTTTACATTCCCCGCAAAATTTATCTATAATCTATCCCTTTCGCCTCACAAGAGGAGAACAAAACAAAAGTAAATAAGCGCTAGAATGAATGACTAAGTAGGCGCATTGTCTAGGACCCCCGATAGTGGATCTAGAACAGTAGGAACACAGACTTGGTAAAGCACCGAGGACCAAGAAAGTGTATTGATACTAAGTAAATTTACACGGTTATCAGGTCGAAAGAGCGGGTGTACGGTCCGGGAAAGACCGATGAACGGACCCGGTGGGCCGGAAAGCATGTTCATCCGCAATAACAAAAATTCGAAAACAAACCACCTTAGATCGAATAGTATGTTCTCGTCGGGTGAAATAAATATAGACTGGTTACTATGGGCGAGCAAGAAACTGGAATAGCACCAGGGTAAATTGAGCAGTAAGGTAGGCAGCGAGTTATCCTTAGAATAGTCAAAATAAGTGGGTAATACTAGGATGGATAAATCTAATGGTTATCCGGTGGTAGCGCCCAATGGGTGAAAAGAATTTTACCGACATTTTGGCGAAATTATATGGCTAAAGCAGGGTTACAAGTGTGACCAATCAACTTATTGGCTTAATATGACAGCACTGGAAGTTTGTATGACTCTATAGCAATGGAATGTTAATAGCATTCGGCAATACACAAGATACTAAAGATACTAAAAGTTTTGTAAAGAAGTTTTTGAGAGTTCAAGAATGTTTATGATAACATCTGGATTGGAGCTCATACATCTAATTAGTTTCCCGATTTGCTGCCTTGTTTATTGTCCATCTCCTTAACTCCTCCAGCGTCATTGGCCGTCCAAGGATTTCTATCGCCGAAATGATAGAAGAGGTGTTCAGCCAGTCTGGGTCAGGTACAATGGGGACAAATGTAGAAGTTGGGGTTTCATAAGATAGGCCCGATGGGTTGAATTTCGTGGAACAGACATCAGGACTAAATTTGATTTCTTTTCGGGAGTCTTTTGGTCATCTGTTTTCGAGGGCTTCGGGTCACTTGGGTACGCATAGTTTTCTTCCCGCAAGTGAACTATAGTAGGACGCGATGATGAAGGCGGTGTTAATGTTGTCAGGTCTACTAGGTCGACATGATGGCTTTCCATTTCTACGGTAGTTGCTTCTAACGTTGAACATGCTGGGACTAAATTAGGTGAACCAAATTCTGGAGCATCACGATCTTCATCAGTTAAATCACTTACACTGGTGAACACTCTCCCACCTAGCATCTTGGGAGGCTGCCTAGTTCGCATAGGTCTGGTGTTCTGACGTGTATAAATTTCTGGCAATTTTTTCGCGGGTGGTGATTTCATTGGTGATGACGCCTTTCTTTTAGCGGTACCGGACAATTTCTGTGTTTTCGTGGTACGTTCAGGGTGTATTTGTTTGGATTCCGTCCCCGCCATGGCGATTGGTTCTTCAGCAGACTTGGAAAACTCTCCTCCGGGATTCTCTGGGAGAAACGGCATTTCTATACACGCTTTATTGGCCTCCTCCATAGTGTCCAAGTGAATCAACTGTGGGATCGCTTGTGAGTCTCTTTCATTATCGCCAGAATCTAAGTCGATCAAAGGAATCGGATCTAAATCGACCTTCTGATCAACGTGGTCTGATATTTCAAGCTTAGGATCTGTTCGTTCGGAGATTATGTGTTCGTCTGATTTTGTAGCTTCGAGTAATGTTTTATTCTTGAGGTCTTTTAGTGAAATTAAGTCGCTATCGTTGTCGTCTGAAATCTCTTCATGTGGTTCGATCATCACTCCGGGTTCATTTAAACGACTTTTATGAAGGTCGGCTTTGCCCGACGGGCTAGATTCTTGGTCACTTTCGAGGCATATCGGGGTTCTCAGTCTCTTTCTCTGGTCTTCTTCCTCTCTAAGAAGAGTTTCCCTCGAGCTGTTCATGGCCGCGTTTCGTCTCGCAATATCCAGCTCTTCAAATTTCCACTGAAGATTTCTTTTCTTTTGGGTTGTTGTTGAGCTTTTAAATCCGACATTTCTTGGTGGTTTTGCAGTTTTCCTCAATCCTTTAGTCGCATAAAATCTAACCAGTTGGTTTCGTTTTCTTGGACTTGGTTTCTTCTGAGTGCACTGTCTTTTAATGGCTAAATCAGATTTACGTATTATTTTACCATTTTTTAAAGTCACAGTGTGATCTGATTCCCTTACGATTTCGTCCTTGAGTACTCTATAGTATGGTTCATTTTTTGTTCTATCCTTGATTTTTCGATAAACAATGGTCTTACCCGACGGGTTGTTCAGAATTGAGTCCTTTATGCCCAAGGCATCTCTTTTTTCTGACCGAGAGAGCACTTTTACTGGGGATCCAGCACTGGTTGGTACATATCTCACAGCATTTGAGATATCCTCCGAGGATGATGAGTTTTCATCAACATCTCCATCTTCTATATCGTCGGGGGCGTCCCAGTCGTGTCTTCGCTCTCGGCTCATTAGTTTTTTGCCCTTATCTAGACATAACAAAGTTTTATTCCAATCAAGGTTATTCGAAGAGGGTAATTTGACCAAATTATGCCAGATGGTGTTAGGGGATCTACCAAAATGTGCTTCGAAAGGAGAGCAGTTAAGCGACTGCTGGGTTACTGTTCTTAAGCAATTTATTATTTTCAGGAGTGCAGATTCTAGTGAAGGTTTTGGACGTTCTTGTGCCATAACCAGGAGTCTTTCCTTAATGGTCCTGATTAGACGTTCCACTAGTCCGGTAGCTCTATGATCACCCACTGGGCTAAATATCACCTTTATGTTGTGATCGTGGCAGAATTCTCTAACTTCCTTGGAGATAAAACCAGATCCTTGATCTGTTCTAATGGTTCTAGGTATCCCGTGTAAAGCAATGTATTTACTAAGGAAGTTTATTATAGATTTGGCCGATGTGCTGGATGTTATTTGAGCTGATGGGAATTTTGAAAATCTGTCAACACACACCAATATGTATTTTTTTGTTCCCCATACTAAAGGTAACGGACCGGCGAAGTCTAATTCCATTTCTTGGTTTGGCTCTACGACCATTGGGAGTTCCCCTAGGGTATTGTGTTTTATAAGAGGTTTCAATTTTTTACCTGCTTTCACGCACTCAATACAGTTCTCGCCGTGGACTTGGATTTCACGGTAAATTTTCGGCCACCAGATGTATTGAGTTGCCAGACTTTTCATTGCGAACTGCCGGGGTGAGCTTCGTGAAGTCTGTTGAGCATAGTCGATCTTAGGCATGCTGGGATTACTAATCGGTTGTCAAGATAAAGACATCCTCCACTGACATGTAAATTATTTAAATATGATTTGTAGTAGTTTCCCAGTTGTAGAATATCCTGTTTTCGGTCTTCCTCGATTGCTTTGATTATCTTTTTCAGAACTAGATCTTGTTTTGATAAGAGGGACATAAATTTTGAATCAAATATTTCCGGCCAAGAGAAAGGGAATATGTTAACTGTTTTCTTTTTACTAGGTGATCTTTTCTCGGGATTATCCGACGGGTTACTAGTAGTTGGTGTTAAAACGTCCGTGTTTTCTTTAGTAGTAAGTTCTTTTTGTTGGTTAAATTCAATTTGTTCTGCCATTTCTTTCAAGATGTTAAAATTCGTAAAAAAATCGTTTAATTTGCAAGATGAGTCACACTGTTCTGTTCGCGAGTGAGAATTTTGACACACTGAAATATTTGAATAGTTAGCTATCGCTTGGAAAGTTTCAGCGGCATTAGCAATTCGATTCTCACGTTCTATTTCTTGACTGGTCATATGATCTGTTGACTGGCCAATCGTATTACAGGAAGTGACGTCATGTGCTAAGAAATGTTGAGAGAATTTATTTCTTATTTGCGCCCACGGATTTTTTGGCATTAGATGATCAAAACCTAGGAGCGTACTAATCTGATTTACTGAAGCAATAACAAACTTTTCGTCATCCAGAGAAACTGGTACGGGTTCACCCGATGGGTGTCGGGATTTATAATCAACAAATCCCATATCTTTACCGGGTAGATGTTCTACAGTAAAGTCGAACGGTAAAAGTTTATCTGCCCAACGGGTGAGACGTGATTGGGCCGTTTTGGTGTATTTATTGTCTTTCAGTGCTCCTATTAGAGCTTTGTGGTCTGTTAAAATTGAGAATTGTTTACCCAGTAGATAATTTTTAAAATGATCTAGTGCCCACACTAATCCCAGTAGTTCGAGTTCATTAGTGCTGTATTTTAATTCGGCAATATTCAAAAATCTGCTAGCAAACGCTACTGTCTTCCAATTCCCCCGATGGTCTTGTTCGATGGACGCGCCCAGTCCTAAATGTGAGGCATCGCATTTCACCCGAGTGTTCAGTTTTACATCGAAATGGTGGTTCGTCACCGTATTACAAATTTCGTTCTTGATTTTTTCAAACGCTTCCGTATGTACTGAGGACCACTTAAATGGTTTATTTTTTTGCATAAGTTCTCTGAACGGTGTTGATAGGGACGCTAGGTTTGGTATAAACTTATTAAATTGGTTAATCGATCCCATTAATGATCTGATATCTTTGATGCAATTTGGTTCTTTTAGATTTCTAATTGCGTCAGATTTATGTATTAATGGTGTTGTCCCTTTTGCGTCGATTCTGAATCCCAACCATTCTATGTTGTGGGTTAAAAATGTGCATTTTTACCATTTTATGGCTAGTCCCTCGTCATCTAGCGTTTTTAACACATTAATGACTAGCTTTTTATGTTCTTCCTCGCTACCCACGGTGGCGATTAGGATGTCGTCAAGATAACAATGAGTATTTGGTAGTTTTTCCGTCAAACGGTCCATTATTCGTTGAAATTCATTAGGCATATCGCCTAGTCCGTAGAATCCGGTTTTGAAACGGTATGAACCCGTTACTTCTCCCCCCACAATGTTAAAATTACACTTATTGCTTGCCTTTTTAGAAAGCGGTATTTGGCTGTAGGCGTATTTTAAATCTAGCGATGAAAACCAGATGTTTCTTTGATCGTGGCCGCTAATAGTAACTGCTACGTTGTCAATTAGTTCAAATAGATTCGGCATTTGATATCTATTGCGAAATATCTGTTTGTTTAGTAGTTTTGAGTTCAATGCTAGTTTGATTGATCCGTCCCTTTTTGCTGTAATCACGATGGGGGAAATAAAACAATCTTCAGAGCATCTAGATAGTTTTTCGATGTGTCCGTCTCTTAATAATTGGTCGATACATAGTTTGACTTTGGGGAGAAGATGGATCGGGATACGTTTCCCTTTTACCTGTATCGGTTTTATCGGTTCGTTAAAATAAGTATTAACTACGTAGTTTTTTGATCTACCAGTTCTTTTTATGAGGTCTGAAAAGTGCTTTGATATGTATAATTTAAACTCACTTTGAGATGGTGTCTCTTGGTTTTGATCCTGTTGGTTGTCCGATGCGAATTTTATTTGATTGACGTTTATCCCAATGGGTGATACTTTCTGATCTTCCCGTGACTTTAACCCGTTGGGTGGAGGTTGTTTCTGAAATACTACAATGCCCAAATTCGGTAAGATGTCGTTTCCTAGTAGATTTCTTTCAGCCCCTTCAGTGATAAAAAGTTTTTGGTCATTAGCCTCCCATCCTTTCGATTGGATTTTCACTCGAACTCTTCCAATGATATTGATCGTACTCCCGAAGCCCTGGTATGCTTTCTTTGTTATTTCGTCCACAGGTTCTAGCTTTAAAAATCTATCTCGTATCTTCAATTCATGTAGTAGGTCTTTTTTCATGAAGGAAACTGGACTTGCGGAGTCAATTTGAATCTCGGTGTAGTAAGGGTTGAAATTTCCCAGAGATACTTTTAGTGTCTTTTTCAATTCTAATCCTTCGTGGTTAAATACTGTTCTCACTCCACGCTCTATTTTGTCTTCTACGGCATTTATTTGATTATCTGTGTCAACGGCTAGAACTAGGAAGTCATCTAAGTTAACCTCAAATTCGGGATTTTCCTGCGGGTTGGTCCGGATATTTTCGTTTTCTTGGGGTACACGATTCTGATCAACGATGTTAGTTTGTGTTTTTGCTGAACTCCTACAGTGTTTGGCAAAATGTCATTTCCGTCCGCACGTATTGCAGTTTCTATCTCTAGCCGGGCATGTGGATAGGTGTCCTTTTTTGAATTGTTGACCGCAATTGCGGCATTTGTTATTTTCGGCGATATTTAGGGTTGGTTCGTTCTTCACGTATTGTGGTCTTGGTCCTGGGTTGTAAGTTGGGAATTTTAGATACTGTTGATGGATTTTAGTACCTTTTTCATGAACTAGTACGTAAGATAGTACGTTTTCTGGGGTCAAATATTCTATACATAGTTTCTTTTGGATCTCGACATTTCTCATGTTTGTGATGAAAATGTCTCTTACTAGTTCTGACTCGAGTTCCCCCAGTTTACAATTTTTTGCTAGTTCTGAAAGAATTTCATGGAATTTTTCTAAGGGCTCATGTTCTTTCTGTCTTCAGCCAAAAAATTTAAACCTTTCGTATGGTAGGTTTGTAGTGATCGTGAAAGTAGTTTTTAATAGTTCCCAAAATTCTGCGAAATTGATATCCAGAATTCTTTTGCCAGGATTTTTATGAGAGAAGCATTTCTGTCCTTTTTTTCCGAATGCTAGGTATAACTGTGATTTTAGCTTCTTGTCAATGTCTCCGATTTGAAGTCCGTTAAATTTGGCGTTATCTTCCGCCCTTCTCCTTCTTAATTCTTCGTTATAATTTTGTACTGCTACTCTGTGATGTTCCTCTTTTTCGGCCCGACGGGCCTGATCCTCGGATGGGTCCGGTGGTTCTGCCGTAGGGTAAATTAGTTCGTTTCTTATCGGTGGGTTAATTACATCTTCGATGTCTACGGAGTCTTTCGCAATAATTGTCAATTGAAACTTTTCCGCCCACCGTTCCCAGTCATGTTGATTTTCGTTTGATGAGTTGTTCCAAAAAAACTCTAATCCACGTAGATTCGATTCGTTAGACTGCGCCATGTTAAAAAATTAGGATACCACTCGTAGTTGTATAGGAGTGTACTTAAGCTAAGAATAGATTAAGAATACGGATGATTATGATTCCTACTAAAACAGTAGGCTTTTATTTAGTACTAAATAAAAGACGGTGATGCTAACTAAAGTAAGAGAGGTTTAAAAGATTGAATTGGTTTCGGTTTTGTTTGTTACGTATCATAAAAGATAGTGGCCAATTCTGAGTCTACCAAAAGCCGTTGCGCTTTTGGCAGGTGTATAAATTAACAACTTAAAGGTCAACGATCAGTAAAGATCAGAGGTTAAATGAACAAACAATAATACTTTTACAGAAAATGTGTACCTTGCCTGCAGTTATTGTGCCATTGTAAGAATTGTATGACTAGCATTCTGTCTTCCTTAATTTTTAGATCTTCTTTTTTCTTTGTTTGGATTTCTTATTATGTTTATGTATGATTGTGTTTAATTACAAACACAATTGCCTGGGTGCATTGCTACCCATATGTCAGAACACCATTTAAAATCTCATAGAAGAATTTTTTTATATATTTTTTTAAATTCTAAAGATAGTTCAGATTTAAATGATAACCGAAAGACACCCCTAGAAAGAATTTATTTTTTAAAGGTAAATTTTTACCCGAAAAAATAGCCTGGGAAGTTTTTTTACAACCAGGTGCAGCAAACTTCAGCTAATTTTTTTGCCCCCATATTATTTGGAAATAATTCTTAACTATCCTAATTGCTTGATACCAATCATAATAAATTCAAAAGACAAGAATTCCGCTGATGAACTGAAAGTAAACATGAATCAATGGCAGTTTTGTGAGCAACTGGCCTCATTATTATAGAAAAAAAAACATATTTTTTTGCACATTTGTTCGCAAATTTCTTTTTTTTTTGCACAGAACTGATTTTGAGAGCAAAAAAACTGAGACCATTTTTTGCCCTTTATCGATATCAAAAATTGTCAAAATTTCAACTAATTAATACAACCAGAAGATACGATAAAATTCTTTTTGGGGCTTTTTTAACTTTTTAACCATTCCATAGAAGAAAAAAAACTTTTGAAAATAGCATGACCAGCAATGGATGAGGGATGAGAATTACAAAAGGTTAATGAGCAATTAACTCCTCGATAAAAACTAACTTTTGAGCTACGCCAAGTAACGTACAACTCTGAAACTCACAGTATCATAATTAGAAAAAAGGTTGTTTTCTTATGTGGCTATGAGGCTTCTGTTTCTTAAACATTTAAGATAGAAATTGATTTGAAAAAAGGTGGCCTATTTTTTCTTATTCAGCTTCAGATTTAATTTTTTTCATCTAACGTTGAAAAATAACAATTCTGACATCTCAGAAAACCTTCACGCTGACTTTGTTTTTTTTTCTGGGTAAAAGCATTATTCCTAAATCATGTTAAAGGCAAACTTATGAAATTTGCATGCAGAAAAAATATTAATAGGAAAATATTAGATCGTTGGCGACTGAAATGAAAGCAAAAAAAATCATTTTTTGGACGATTATCAGGATGCATTTATAATAACCTGATTTTTGATTTTCAGTGTACCTGTGTTTCGAGATCCAGCTCAATTTTCCGAAGCACGTCGATTTTCTGATAATATTTAGTTTTTGACCAAAACAGGAAAGCTCTTCTAACGTCGTTACGATCTTCAAGAATCAATTTATTCATATCGTTGTTGCGGTTACTCGTCGAACTCGTGCCATGGCTGTCGGAGCTAATGTTTGCGACATCCAGTTTCTCAATTGCAGCCGTACAGATTTCGATGACTGTTTCACAAGCCATAACATGTTTCGGATTAAACCAAACTGAATATTTTGCGTATTGCGAAGATAGAATATAGCAATATAGGATTTGAAAGCGATTGTCATCTTTCGTCGTGAAAAGAGCAGACCTTTTGACCAGTGACTGAGAACATTTTAGAAGAAGTTCAGAAGCATCTTTTCTACAAACCATCGCTTGTTCACGACTTGTAACTGAATTAGATTGTTCCGATGTCACATGCTGACAATACTCTCGAAAAACTACTTCGTAAGCTTCTGAGTAAAAATGAAAAAGATCCACATTGATATTGGCATAAAGCTGATTGCTTCTGTGGCTCTCAAATGCTGATACCAATTCTCTTATTTCCTCCCTGCTACTGGTATTATAATCCATACACTCATCTGGTTCCTTGTTCGATATGTTTAACTGTGACATTGATGGATGTACAGTACGATGTCTATTCTCATTATTGAGGGACCGAAAAAGTTCCCAATTAATACAAGTGTAGAAAACCCTAACAAGTTCTAATTTACAGAACGATTATGTCGATTATTTTGTTACTCTAACCCTAAGGACACGCCACGTGCCTTTTCAAACAACGTGTTTTTCCTACTCTGCTCCGTACTTTAATTTTTTGTTTCATGTTATGACGCGATCATCAGATTGACAGCGCCCTCTCAACTTATCGCCATTTTGTGTCATAAACACTGATAAAAACCACCAATGAAAAGGTCAAATCAGACAATCAGCCTGAAAGCAGCCTTAAATGCATCAATTTACTTAACAGATAGTTTAAGGTTAGTCAATCTAACTAAATCAGTAGAAGCCCGGGTTGACTTCCATACATCAAAAATACTTATCATACAATTCCATCCAACAAGTGTATGGAAAAATGCTTTGCACGCAATTTTCGTACAATTTCGAAAAATAGTTGAAAAAAAAAAAGATAAATTAATTTCTGCGGCTGTTTGATTCTAATAGCACAGTCTGGTGATGAAGAAACCAAGGTTTTTGTCTTTTTTTTGAAAAATACTTATCATACAATTCCCATCATTACAAATTATCCCAAAAACTTTTTTTTTTTTTTTTTTAACCACTAATCGAATTTTGTGCACAAACTCAAGTTTTCCAAAAAAAAATATGTAAGCAAAAAAATAATTTTTTGTGTGCATAACGTAGCCCTGGTTACGCTAATGTCGTTTATTTAATGCTTATCGATTTATTTTTGCATGTTGTTTATTTTTAGCTTTTTGCTCAAAAATTTTCTCAAAAATGATTAAAACTCCTTTTTTTGGTATGGCATATTTTATGTAAGCCTTGATCAATGTCTCATCATTTGAAAAATTCAAATTTTAGAAAAATAATCGTCTTGAAAGATTTTGCCAAGTTTTTTTTACTTTCGTTACACCATTTGCGAAAGACAGCTCTTAGACAATTCAGGTCGTTTTTGATACATTGTTACTGCATGACTGTCCAACTTTTGGTACTTTGAGAAAACCAAGGTCCTTGTCACTTGCATTTGGTTACAAACACAACCCAAACTTAGTCAGAAAATAAAGTTTAAAAAATTGTTTTCTTTTGGTTTAAGGACATAAACTTGTCATACAATTTTCATATATGGAAAAATGCTTATCATAGAGATTTCATACAGTTTTCTCTTCGAATGGAATTGGTTGTTAGGAAATTTTTGTATATGGAAATTGTATGAAAAGAAGCTTTGGTCAAACCGTGGGAAGAAAAATGGGTAGAAAAGGGTGGACACACTTTGAGAATCAATTGAATCAAAGAAAGCAATTATCCTACTGTTGACCTGTATTGGATTAAAACATATGATAGTGCAGAAAACGGCAAAAACTGTTGTGAAAAAAACTCTAGTTTGGCTTGATTAAACCGGAATGCTGACAAAATTGGATAAACTAAAAAAAAGGGGCTAAGTGCAAGACTTTATGGGAAAAAAGTTCACACTTAATGCAATGACAACTACATATAATTGCAGATTGACTCAGTAAACTATCAAAATTTTTCCCAAGATTCAAATAATAGTCAAAAACACCTTACAAGTGCTTCTATACTTTAAAAAGAGATAGAAATCAATTTTAGAAAACACTTTGTTTTTTTTTAAATTAAGCTTTTAAATTTTTCAGATCTTGATTAAAATGTATGCAGTTTGAACAAAAAATGTCGAAAAAAATATGAACGTTTTTTTTTGATAATTTTCTTAGCTAAACGTTTCTAGTGGTTCAAAAAGTTTTTGGAGACAATAAAAACTCAATTTTGACGAGCCATGTCATATATAGTTTGGGTTGTGTTATTTGTGGCGTTCAGGTATATATCCACATTTTTCGCATAATCAACAAAAAAACTTTCCCTACAAAAATTGTGAATAGTTCGGGTCTTGGCTTTTTAGTTTTTTTTGTGTTCTGCGACAAATAATAACTTTTAAACTGGTTATAAGCGAGTTTATCAAAATAACAACGGTAAAAAAGTTTTAATTTTCTTTTTTACAATTTTCTTTCAGGAAATAGTTCTTATCTTGTAACATTCTTTCGTAAGAAGTTGTGAGATTCTCATGAAAAAAAAAGATTATAAGATGGCGACTTATGGTCAACTCGGGGCCTTTCACGAGGGCGAAAGTCACACCTTTCGAAACGCACATGCTCTGAGACGACAACTTGCCGCGCTGATAAACATTGAGCAAAACCGATGAAAAAGAATACCTTATCAAACACTCTCAGCAAACAAACAGTTTTACGGCGGCTCGTCAGCACTGAGGATACGAGCATAGCAATCACCAGAGGTCACAGACATCATCAGCGATCCAGAAAAGAAAGAAAACGGAAAACGAACAGAAAACAATTTTGACCAATTTGATTTTTGGACACTTTGACAAGAAAGGGGCGACTATAGGAGTTGTATTTGTCGAGCAAATGGAGTGTGAAATCCTCTGATCTGAATAAAAATTGAATGTCCGTAATACTGAATTCAAAACTTACGAGTTGGGGTTTTATTCCGAGCCTGCAAAATAACATCGAATGAAAGTGACAATCGCAGCATGATCGTTACTGTCACTGCCATCATAAACTGGTTCAATCACGATTTAATCAATCCTGGTTGGTCTGCTGACGCCGAAGCGTAATATACTGGAATACTCACATCTGTTAGCTTCTCTTGGTTTGCAAAGCATGCTGGCTGCGGCTTGTGACAACTTATGACCTGAGTATAAAGTGAATGTCGCTTATACCAATATCATAAGCACCAAAACCATAGCAGTTTCCCACAGCAGGGACCTATTCCAGAACATCAATTCGATGATGATGTTGAAAAATGAAGTGCAGAAAAAACACCAATCAAACTCAATTGAGTTGAGGAAAAAATGACCAGGAAGGGCAAACTAAGACAAAAAATGATAAAAGTTTTGCCATTTGGAGTTTTTAATTAGCTAGATTGACATCCCCAAAGAATCAATAAATAACATGTAAGAACACTTTTTCCACTCCCCCCATTTTTCAAATTTCGTTTTCCAGTTGTCTTAAGTGTCATTATGGCTGAATGTGTGTTATTATGATGTGAGGTATGAAAATGAAAATGTGTTCACGATAGTTTCTAAATTCAATATAAAAATTTTCATTATATTTTGATTAAAAAGAATTAGTTTTTTAAAACTGAGTTTCAATTGTGGAGGGGGGGGGGGGGGTTTGGGAGAAAAGAAAAAAAAACAATTTCAAGTTTAATGATAATTTTAATGTTTCTTGACCTTCAAAATCATAGTGATGCATTTAAGTAGATTTTCAATAAAAAAACATTTTGGACAAAGTAACTGTAAACGGTCAAATGTGGCCTAAATTTTTGTTAAATTAAAGCTGATCTACTCTCATATTTGATATTTCTCATCGAGAAATGCCTTAATCCAACTAGAGAGGAATTCCATACGGTTTTTTGTTAGACACGATTATATAAAGCCGGATTGAGGTTTTCGAGTTAATTTTCGACTGACTCGACCAAAGAAAAATGTGTTCAAATTTGTTTAACCCAAGCTTGCTATGTTGTCGCCAACTCAATTGAACAACCATCTTTTGACTGCTGGTCCCAAGTGAGCTATGTTTTGATCGACTCGAACGAAACTAGCTTTGCTTCCACCGACTCGACGAAAAAAATTGCGCTCGACTGTGTTCGGCCCAATCGTGCTATAATTTGACGGACTCGACCCAAACTGATGTTTTTTGATCATCACGACCGAAAAAAAAATGTTTGTTTCGACCGACTCATCGAATTTGGTAATCTTTAAAAATTGTGTTCGACCTAAAAGGCTGTTTTCAACTTTGGGTTTTGGGTGGAACAATATCCGTTTGTTCGACCGAATTCGGTCGAAACATAAGTCGAACACCTCAACACGGGACCCTTTTACGTCCATGTGCATCATCATGGTCATAGGATCAAAATAACCCGCCCAACGAACCTAATTTTAGCATAAATTTTAACTTCTACTATAAAAAAATGCATTCTTATTCGATAAAAATTCTTTTCCAAGATTCGGTCCCCCAATCAAATATGACTCTACCGTATGATGCAACACGTTTCATGTTGCTCTTTCAGGCCTTCGGGGAACTCGCTAATGTCAAGCAATGAGACAGTACTGCAATGTAGTTGTATAACACGCGGAGAGTTTATCCGACCACGTCCATACAATAATGGTTGAAATAAAGCAAATGCCAGTTTGTCGGTGGTATTTCTAATAACAACTAGGATAGAAGAAATATCTTGTTGGTGGTACCACTCTATCGCCGCTTCTGAACAACACTTTGCTAGACTTGAAAAACAGACGACGGTATTTGCATCTCCGTTGAACGTGTACTTTTTCAAATCTTTCGCGCAATTGTAATTTATTTCATCTACCGTCAATTTGGTTTCTTTGAAATCATCTGTTTTCGGATAATTTCCAATAACAACTGCGATACGCTTGTTTTCGCAACCGATTTTCAACAAAGACGTGATGTAATCCGAAATCTTGTTTTGTGGCACTTGAAATTTCTCGATTTTTCTGTTAAAACCATGAGACTTTCCATTCGAACCAAAAAAAAGTTAAGGGCCTTAGGCAGATGTTGAATCGGACCTACTTTTCAGGAACATCTAACAATCAATTTTCTAGAAAACAAGACTGCGCGATGCCCTGAATGTTCCGACTGCCTTTTAAGGTCTATGGAGCAGTAATAACATGAAAAACTCAAGTGTAATACAGAAAGAAGTTAAAAATTTTATGTTGAAAAACTGAAATTTGTGGTTAAGACAACCCCCACTCGGCATATTAAGAACAAAGTGACAGATTTTGCTCCTATTATCAAATCAATTATGGCATATAAGTTGAGCCACCTCGAAGCTACTTCTAAGACGGATTAAATCTCCGCTTACGCGTTAATAGCGCGATTTATATCGCGCCTTATTGTCCCAAATTGGCCAAAATGGGAATCCCAAACACCCATAACTTTATAAAAAAAGCTCAAGACAATAATAGCTTTCGAATCAGATGGAAAAATTTCGTCAAAAATGGCTAGTTAAAAAGTCGAAGTTTGTCTGAAGAAAAAAAACGCACCGAGAACAAATGTTCGGTTACTTTCGTTACTAAATTTGGAACAACAATCAAACTCTCACTGTAATTGCAAAACCAAAACATTGAAAAATTGCAAAACCGAAACATTGAAAAATTGCAAACACAATTGCAATTAATTGGTGCGAAAAATCAAAAATAAAAGACGAGCTCTTTTTTTTTAAAAAAAAAGGTTCGTTCAGACTCTATTGTTCAACCTATTGTTCATAAGCCAGAATAGCGGCCAATCAATGCTTTTTTGTTCCGAGTTTTGTAAGGAAAGTAACGTAATGTTTGTGCTCCGGGTGGTTTTTTTTCTTCAAAAAATTTCGACTTTTAAATTAGCCATTTTTGAGGGAGAATTTGTATCATTAAAAAAGTTTTGTTGTCCTGAGCTTAAATTTGAAAAAATGTTTCACTTGTGATCTCTTTTTGTAAAAATATTGCGGTTTAATGATTGCCATTTTGACCAATTTGGGACAAATAGAGCGCAATTTTTTTAGCGCTATTAATGCGTAAATGCAGAGATTTAATCCGTCTTCGAAATCGTTTCAAATTGCTTGAAGGAAGCTTATTTGCCATAATTGATTTGTTATTAGGAGCAAAATTTATCACTTTGTACTTTATATCGCGTGTGGGGGATGATTTTCACCAAAAAATTCAGTGAAAAAGTCCATTAGTAGTTATCAGGTCATGATACCTAGCAGTCAATGCTAACATCTTTGAGTACCGGGAGATCGGGTTCAAGCTCAATCAAGAGATTTTTTCTAGCTAGAAACATCCTGAAACTATCATACTCTGACCGGAATTTAGATAGGGCAAAAAAATTTTAGGAAAATCCTTGCTTCATTCAAACATTTCAAAAAATCCTGGTCAGAAATTAATTTTTTAGTTGAGAATTTCTAGCCCGAAAATAGGAAAATAATCAGTGGGAAGAAAATATACCTGTTGATACAATTTTTCACACATTTTCGGACATTTGAGCCAGGAGTTTTGAAAGTAACCTGATCTTTTTGTTCCGAATTTTGTAACGAAAGTAACGGAGTATTTGAGCTCGGGGTTGGTTTTTTTTCTTTAGACAAATTTCGAAATTTTCTTTAAGTCATTTTTGAAGGAATTTTTTATATCGAACCTATCTTTATTGGTAAAGCTATGGGAAGTAAAAATTGCCATTTTGGTCAAATTAGGACGATTAAGCGCGATATATATCGCGCTAATAACGCGTAAGCTGAATTTTAATTGTCTTAGAAACCGTTTCAAATGGGTTCAAGGAAGCTTATATGCCATTAGTAATTTGTTAATAGGAGCAAATTTCATCACTTTGTTCTTATTATGGCGTGTGGGGGATGTTTTAACAAAAAATCTCTTTTTTTTTCAAAAAAGTTCATTTCTCTGATTACATTTATTCAAATGCATGATTCAACAAAAATGACGTCAAAAATTTATTCGCAGTGCTGATCTCAACAAATAAGCTGGTTTATATAATTTGGTAATGGTTTTTGTTAATTTTGGTGATGGTTTTGTAAACAGTTTGAGTTAAGAAACGATTGAAAAAATATTGAACCAGAATTTAGGAAGAAATTAAATTTTTCCTGTCGGGAAAAGTCTAGATTAAGGAATTTTTTGACCAGAAAAAAAAACAGTTCGCTTTCATCATTAGAGTTCAAGTCATAAAAAATTTAACGCAAAGCAATTGGTTTTGTTTTCAAAGTTGAGAGGATTTTGTTTTGAATTTTTGGCGATAAGAAACTGGGTATGGCCACACTGTTTAACTTGCCATGTGACGATAGAGCATATCTCATTATTGTCTCAACACATTCATCCACAAGCGGTTGATTTCCAGATGCATGATCCAAAAAACAAAAACTATATTAAAACAATTAATATAGACTTTTAGAAAAACCTTGTCCAAATGCTAAAACATGTTGCAATGAATTTCTGACCAGGTTTTCAGTTTTGAAAGTAAGTGTTTCATGTCAGAAAGCAAAGCGTCTTTGTGTGTGAGCACTCTTTTTTACTCCTATTCGATCTATTTTTGTCGAAAATGGCATGTCGAGTTTATGGACGCTTGAGTATGATTCATAAAAATAGAGTTTTTAAGGTTTTACTTCCTGTTAACATCACCTGTCTTTGACTTTTCTGTTCCGGTATTAGTCTTATGTCAATTCCTTTTAGAATCTTAAAGTTGAAATAATGGAGAGCCTCACAAAACACTTAATGAAGTAAATATCTCATTTTCTGCGAGTGGAGAGCTGAAAAAAGAAACGTCCGGTGATGCAACAATAGCCAAATTGGTCGTGGCACGTGTAACTGCCATTCTAATTGTTTCAGCGAATTTCAAGACGTCACATAAAACCATTTTCTCGAGCATAATAACAACAGTTTGAAATTCACTTCCATTTATAGCATCGATTGACTCCAATTGAACGATTGGTAAGCTTAGTTCGCTTTCGTCATTAGAGTTCAAGTCATAAGAAATTGAACGCAAAGCAATTGGTTTTGTTTTCAAAGTTGAGAGGATTCCGTTTTGAATTTTTGGCGATAAAAAACTGAGTATGGCCACACTGTTTGACTTGCCATGTGACGATAGAGCATGTCTCATTATTGTATCAACACATTCATCCACAAGCGGTTGATTTCCAGATGCATGATCCATATAATTAATAAAACAAATGTCTGGTAGGTTGGTCCCATCTAGACTGTGAGATGGCAACCCGTTAAGTTCAGTGAATGTATGTCTTAATGTCAGGGTTCTATAAATGTGATCGGAAAAATTTTGAAGCCGTTTTGTGGACCTCATTGCACAGGAAAGAAAGAGAGTGGTGAATTCGTTTTGTAATCTATCTGACAACAGCGCTTCTCTAGATGAGAAAATACAAAGATGAGCTCCAGTTTCAATGCAACGTGATACTAGGTCATCACCTTGTTCGTGTAACAGCGGATCCTCGTCGATGAAAATTATTCCTTTCGCTATACTTCGAGATTTCCCACAGAAAGACCGTGTATTCCAAAACTCAAATCCCGGTCCCTGCAATGTTTGCGGAAGTTTCGAAAAAAGGACTTTAGCTCTGCCAGATCCGTCACAAATGACTATTTGACGTTGTTTCTGCTGCTTTTGATAGATACAACTGGCTAATTGTGCTAAGTGGACCATCAACATTGTCTTGCCAGATCCTTTTGCTCCTCGCACATCTATGCGTAGAGGGTTGTGTTCATTGAAAGGATCTGTGAGTCGTTTGAAGACTGTTCCTATGATTTCCAACTGCTCTTTTGTCCAGAGAATGACAGTAGTTTTATCTCTATTAGACACGTTCGACTTGCTGTATACTGTTTTCGAGGCGCGTATCAGATCTTGTTGCCATTGAGTGCTCGCAGCAGTCAAAACTCCTTCCTTCAAAGTTGCTTCAGTCAAAATTCCATCATGTTGACTTTTAAGCCACGGCTCCAAATTTTTCACTTGAATAGACTGGATATCATTAGAAGAGAACTTTTGGTGGACAAGTGAACTGTTTCCTTCCATCGAGTTCAAGGCCACAAGCCGTGCAACTAAAGTGTCGAAAATGTCGTCTGTTTTTTCTCGTATCATGGTGTCAAGATCGAAAACTGTGTGCTTCCAATGCAAAGCGAAACTGTTGAGCTCTTCTTTTTTAAATACAATCACTCGATCGGCCACCCGACCCATCTGTTTTTGTTGACATTTATAAAAATTGGTGACATCTGCAAGTTTACCAGCTGATGCGTTACAACCAGATACAAGACAAATAACAGAGTGAATTGGTATTTCATTGACTACATTTACATTAGTTTCCTGACCCAAAGAATCTTTAGAAAGGCCATTGTAGCACAATACATACCGGACAAAATCAGAATGCTTTCGCAAATTCGATTGGAGATCTTTAAGGCTAACTTTTTGAGCGTTTTTAATATTAAAGACGAAAAATCCTTTCAACGGGTGTGCCACTATCATGTCTATTTCAACGCTGCCTGGTTCTCCTTTTTCAAAAATATGACTTCCATCAATATTTGGGAAAACCATGATTCCGCAATCATCTGTAGAAACATTGTTTACAAACAATCTGTAAATTTTGTTCTCTCCTTCCTCCCCTTTCTGCAGTGACCTATATTGTTTTTGCAGTTTTCTGCTCAGCTGTTCATTCCTAACCATCATACGGGGGATTCTAACACAGGGTACTGAAGTTGTCTTCCCTGGTTTTTTCCAGTCCGGATATTGGAACTCCACAAATCGCTTCAAAGCGTCATTATCGTTAAAATGAACTATTCGGTCTCCGGGCCACTGGATCTCTATTTTTTCCAGTTCTAGAGTCAACGAGTCCAATTTCTCCTGATCAGAGAGTTCGGGTAGAAGAGGCTTATCAGCTGAACTGGAACCTGGATGCTTAACACTTTTATTATCGGGTGTTTTAGGGCCAGCTTCCGAGTCACTGATGTCTTTTTCAAATGGGGAAAACGCAGGCTCATCATCAATCGACTCTTTCTCTCTGTCTTTAAAATTTGTCTGAAGTGGGCAAATATTGAAGGCATGTTCGATTTTAGTTGAAGTTTTTCGCGCATTTGGATCTATTTCACATTGGCTTCGACTCTTCTCATGCTTTTTTTCTTCTTCATCTTCTTTTTCTTCTTCTTTTGGTTTTTTTGATTTTTCTTCATTTTTGTCAGCATTTTCCTCTTCATCGTTTTCTTCTTCTTCGTCATCGTCTTCTTCTTCTTCTTCTTCTCCTTCTTCTTCTTCTTCTTCTTCTTCTTCCTGTTCTTTTTGATCTTTGTCTGCCACAACTGCACGTGATTTCCAGATCGAGTGATCCATTTTGCAATAAAAACCAGCTGAAAAGTTTTGAAACCTACCAATAAAATGTGCTTGGCTTTTTAACCGAACTTCCCCGCAGCTCCAAATTCAATCAGTAGAATTAACTTTGTGGCGCAATCAGCAGTATTTCAAGGTTATGAAAGATGACCAACTGCTTATGAATCTTGACAGTTGCTTTTTGGCAAGGCCGTAAGGTGGAAATATAAAACTCACTAAACTCTGAAGATTTAAAACCTTGAAGATATAAAAACACTTAAGATTAGTATTGAAAGATAGTAGTTTCGAAACTAAAAAGAATGGTGCGGCCTTAGAGACTCATCAAATTGCAACGGGTTCGTTTGATAACTATTCTTCATTCAGCTTTTTCTTAGAGTCTTTTCGGCTAACAAAGTTTTTGAAGGGTGGTGTTAGGGTCACATATTTTTTCAGATACTAATTTTCTTTTCAATTTTAAAGTAAATTCTAAAAAAATCCAAGCCTTGTCGGGTAAATTAAACGGTTAAGCATATACGAGTTTCAAAGCTTATGAATATATTTTTCGCTTTTTTTAATAAGGAACAAACTCCTCTTAAACTGCCCCTCCTCGTTCTAATAAATACGATTTTTATAGAAACACTGGTCATCTTATAGCAAAAACTCTATAAAAATTTTTACAGGAGAAAGGCTCAATTAGGTTTGAAAATAGGTTGACTTACGTTTGTGAAGCTCCAAGTCGAATTAAAGAGAAAATTAGGAAGCTATTGTCTTCAAGGAAGTAAAATTAGAAATTAAACGTTTGAATAAAAATTACTCTATAATGCATATGTCACTTACACCTCAATTGAATATACAAATGAATCGCTGGTAGTAAATAAGTTTTTTTTTCAATTTATCCGCGATCAATTAGTAACTTACGCAGATCTCCCACCGTTTGATTTCCACTGTCAAATAAAAATTGCATTTTTTTAAAACGAGTTCAAAAATATTGGAGAAAATATTTCTTATAAAAATCTTGAAAAAGTCTATTTGAATGATATAAATTATAATTCAATTAAAATTCAAAAATTTTTGATGATTCGAGTTTTTTGTTGGTTGATGTTTGCATTGAAAAACACTACATTTTTTTGCAATTTTCACGACTTTTTTTAAAAAGCTAAATCGAGTTAGATAAACTACGATGATTGTTATAGCATCAAGTGTTTAAAAAACATAATAAAACAGCAAACATGATATATGTAAGCTTCGATGATCGGTATGAGCATGTAATAAAAAATAAGAATAATTAAAAAACAGACTCAATTTGGGTAAACTGCAAAAATCGTTAGCAACAAATACTACTCGGCCTGACCAGACTTTTCGTGTTCAATTTATGAAAAATTTATTTGAATTTCAAAATGAAACTAAAATAAAAAAAAAGCACACAACGTTTTTCTGTTAAATTTTTGATAATGGTATTTGGAATTTTTTGAGCCATATCGGTGTGTGTAGATGAATTTCCGATAAACATGATATCCGTTCATGTTTTTTTCTTTTTCTGCCATAACTGCACGTGCTTTCCAGATCACGTGCATGATAAGTTCAATTGAATTGATCATTCGTTGAAAAGCTTAAAACAGCTCTGTATTTTATAATTTGATTCTAAGTTTTCGAAATCAGAAAAAAATCTGAAACACAGCAGAAAACTATACCCCAGTTTCCAATAAACTACTTACACAAGCGAGCCGAAAGAAGATTAAGAAGAGCGAATTTGAAAATCAACAAATAACCAAGAACACTAGGGCATAAAACAAATGAATTGATAACCAAATGGCGTAATTGGCGTTTTATTGGCGTAAAGTACACTAACGCACGTAAGAAACTGGTTGTTTAGTTTTTTTTTTTGCCGTAATAACAAATCAACCAAGCAAATGAAAAGAAGGATAAAAATTAAAAAGAGTAAAAACAGACAAGAGTGAATCTGAAATCGTCATATTTGTCATCTGAAATCTGAAATCGTCATATTTAACTGAAATCGTCATATTTCAGTCATATTTCGATTTAACTGAAATCGAGTGAATCTGAAATCGTCATTTTTAACTAGATTTGTGCAAACTACATTCCATATGCTGGGTTTGCGTAAGAGTTGATACAATCGCAACTTAGGTAGAGCGGAAAACTTACTCTATATTATAAACTTCTTCAATAGACAAATATAGGCAAGCCTTTCCTTCTATTTCCGTCGCTACAGGTTTGTGATATTCTGATTTTGAGTGCCGAATGTTTAATTTAACTTAACTTGAAATCTCAATAATCCTAGTAATGAGATTTTTATTAGCATTGGTTATAACTGTTGTTTACAAAGGGAGAAAAGGTATGTCTGTTTGAAAACAGGTACAATGGGCAAAATCGGTCTGTCTGCGCCAGGCTTCATTTTTGACTTGGGTGTGTGATATTTTAACAGTTTGTTTTTTTTTACAAACCACTGCATGAATAGAAATTTTTTAAAGATGAAGCAAAAGGAGGCCAAATTGTGGGGGCTGTATAAAATAGCATATTATTAAAATAGCACAAAATTTTGCTTGCCAATTTAAGTTTTCTCCAAAGCTTTTTGTTACCTTTCTTGAGGAATAGTCTAGACGAAATTTTCAATATGGCCATTATTCGGCTGATGCATGACTGTTTTTTCATGTTAAATATTTTTTCATCAAAAAAATTTGATTAAAAGCGAAATCAATTCTTTTGTTGTGCTCTTCAGACCAAATCTTTTCTGTATACCCGTACCGATAAAGTTTTTTATTTCCGACTGGAGAAATTTTAGATCTAATCTGTATTTCTGGTCAGATTTTCATTTTGAAATGCTCAAAGAAAGCATGTATTTTTTGAAAAGTCTTCAGTTCTCATCTTATTTCTGATCAGAAATTAGCTGAATCTAGGTTCTTTCTATCTGGAAAAAAAGTCTCCTAGTGGATCTCGAACCTCCGACCTTCCCTTGCATAGATGTTTGTGGTAACCGGTATGTTACATGGCCTGTTACTTTCTAATAGCTTCAACAATCTGATGCTAAGCAACACTTGTTATAACGAGGGGGGTCAGGGAGCGAGGCACCATCAGGTTTTTTGACTCTTTGCTGCTTGCACTAGATTAGTAACTCTTGCTTTCAGATCTCAACTGTATTTTTTTTTGTATCTGGATTCTCCTGGATTCGAACCCTGATGTAGTGATCATCAGTCTGTCGTGTTACCAATTCGGCCCACGTTATACATTATGTTTAATCAAAAAAAATCTCGAATACCTTTTGATGAGAAGTAGATTAGCTTGTGAAAAGTTTTTTCTAAGGTTGTTACACTCTAGCCCTTGAGTGGACGCAAAGCAGTCTGAAATATGTGTGCTTATTCAGTTGTCTGAAAAACTTTGCAGACACTTTTGTTTGAATGTATTCAGTAACTTCGTTGAAAACTTCATTATTTCACTAAGCATTCGGGTACAGACTCACTCAACAGCACACCACATAAAACAATGAGAAAGTGAAACTGTTACGATACATAATCCTTCAACTGATGAAATGAACAAATGAAGAAAGTTTTATTTTTGCAAAAAAAATTTAAGCAGCCTTGACTTTGTTTTATTCAAAAAAACACAGATGAGTTAACTGTCTTTAAATTTTTAAATTTAGGAGACATAAAAACGTCAAATTTAACGATATATTTGTTGTTTAGAAGTAGTTAAAAATCAAAATTTTCTTTTTTCGGATAGATTTTTGAACATGCTTACGCAGATAAAGAGTTCGTGTCCGCTACACTCGACGAATTGGCTAACTGATTAGAGGAAAAGAACACTTTATGAAATATTCCACTTCTAGATAATAAGCACGATTGGGATTTGAACGTAGTCAACCGGCACATGGGACCCACACATATACACTCGGTAATGGTAAAGGTAAGTGCAAACGTTGCAACTTTTCAAAAAGCAAATAATTTTTCTTTTGAATCCTGGTTCTCCTTAAAAAAAGTGGAAAACTCCCAGGGAAGTGAACGGAAAATAAACTTCCAGTTTTGTATTTTTCCTAGCTTGGGAAGCAAATCACAATGAAAACACGCGAGCAAAAATAGCGTTAGCTTTGCAAGATTGTCCTTTTCGGGGTCAAAAGCTAAAAAGGCCAGCAAAATATGTAAAAACTATTTGGGTTTCGAACTTCTGACACGTCTTCTAAATACGTAATCTTATAAGATTATTACAAAAATCCGCCACGGACGCTTGGATAAAAAACAACCCTTCAGAAAAAAAGAGGAGCGAATGTTGTCTTCTAATTAATAGTCACATGAAACTCTTAAGATATTGACTGAAGTGGGAAAATATTATCAACGATCTTGATTGGATTTTATAACTTCCACTTTACGGAGTTCCATGGATAATAATCGATTATATTGAATTTTCGTGGTCTGTCTCAATAAATTTCGATAATAATCGATTATAATCGATTAAAAATGGATTATAATGATACTATTTTTCTAAGCAACATAATCCCAATATAATCGATTATAATCGATTATAATGGATTATAATCGATTATTTTTGAAAGAGAATATAATTTGTTTTTAAAGCAAAATAATCCATTTTTAATCGATTATAATCCATTATAATTGATTATAATGGCAAATTTCTTCTTTCAAATTTTCAGGGAAACTGTTACCAATGTCAGGTGCTTAGTATGGAATAAATTAAATTCAATATATATTTTCCTAATTTTTTTTTCACAATTTTTTTTTTGAAATTTTCGAAAAAAAAGTTTTGAAATTGTGCGACCTCAAATTGACTTTAAAACGCAATTAGACCTAAACATGACAAAATATGACTAATTATTATATTTATATTATTTCAACATGCCCTGGAACGTTTAAATTACCCATTACCCAGACCTGGAACGGTTATATTAAACCCAGAACTTTACCCTGGGACGTTAATCAAAAAATTGTTACTAGAATTTTTTGGTCGGGGCTGGCAGCTATTATGGTAAATGGTGTTCGCAAACAAAGAAGACTTGT